AAAGTTGAGGAAATTACATGCAGTTAATCAGAACAAGAATGACAACAGAAATTTAGTGGTAAACAGATTGCTCAGTAATTTAATAAAAACAATATGAACATGGAAAATATCTGCACCAGAATTCCACCAATACTTCTACTCCATAAAATTTGCATTAATTTGATAAATCAAATATAAAATATATTTCATCTAATATTTTACAAATAAAAATGCGATTTGAATGCGACATTTAGTACTAATCCATGTGTATGAGATAGTAGATATAAACACCATTGTCCCCAATAATGATAGATGAGAAATTTATGATTAAAACCACATTTATGTGATGTTGTTTTATGTGATATTAAGGGTTTGCTTTGGAAGAACGGATTCCAGACAAAATTAAAAATGAACAGATTGCAGATAAATTCAGGAAACTTCAAAAACACATTAAAAATATTAATGGAACAGGTTTCCAACCATCAGAAAATTTCATTTACAGTTTTTGGCTACATTAAATTGTAACCCACCCAGCAACTATCAAGAAACAATTTTTTGCCAAGAAAAATATTACAGAGCTCGAATTACAGTCAAACGTCTTTATTACGGACTCGTCGGGACTTTGGCGATTCCGGATTTTTGGTTTTTCTGGATTATGGATCATCAATTTTAATCTGGTAAGATGGCATGCAGAAATTATAAAATTAAAAATATGAAACCATAATTTATGAAATAAAGAGCAATTATGATCTAAAGGGTATCAAAATTTACAAAAAAAAAAAAAAAAGCTTAATATTTGTTTACTTTATTAAACATTTCTTTCAACACGCGCATGTGTAAAGCATACATTATGCATAGTCGAAATTAGAAAATTGCAACCAGAAAACTGTTTGATGTGTATTCGTGATATTTATAATGACGAGGAATTTGATTTAAATCATATCAAAGACGGAGTACATCGAGATGAAATACTACATTTAGAAAAGAATTATACGCCAAATAAAATAAAAACATCTGCCCTGAAGATGAGGATAGTGCTGACAGATCAAGTTCCAGTTCATTGTGCGCCGCAACGCCTCCCCCCTTTCGCAGAGCAGTGTGAAATTGATAAACAGATTTCAGAATGGTTAGAGAAACAAAGGATATGCCTTTATCCATTTTTTGCAGCAATTCCACTTTTTGTTTGATGGACATCGAAACATGCTTTCGCATTGTAGATCCTTTGGCAGCTCCAGAATCGGAAACTCTTTTTGACATAACCGAAAGTTCAAGCTTACTTTTATAAAGTTGCTCTAACAGTCTGGAAAAAAATAATAAGCCGGATTCAATTAGAAGATTAAGAAACAACACAATCTTCAACATTAACTGAAATAAATAATTAGATAATTTTAGCTTAGCTTATACGTCTGTTATACATTCAACGCACATGCATAAATGCATATGTGCATGCATAAAGTTATTATGCGCATGCACAGAAAGTTTGTAGCTTTGAGGTCCGGATTATAGATCATTCTGGATTATGGACGTCTGGATTAAAGACTTTTGACTGTACTAAGTTATCCAAGTTAGTATCACATAACTTTATAATAATTTGCACTCAAGGCAACAAAGGCCATTAAACATTTCAGAAAATGATTCACGAAAAATCAACTGCACCCTACCCAGGATTCAAAACACAGATCTTTCATGATAACATCTTAAGCCATGAAAGCACACGCAGAGAGACATGGTAATTCCTCCCCAGATGGTTTCCTAAAATCAAATACTCCCTACATGATTAACCCGCTTAGTACGGGTGTGTCATATTTGAATCGCCATTTAATTCACCCTATGGACGGGCGTACCACATTTGACTTTTTAAATAGAACATTTAATTATTATTTTTTGTTGCTGCTAGATGTAGCTGTATGTCTGTTATGGGGAAATATCCCTTCATTTCTATGCAATGCTTTTTATTTTTGGTATTTTGTTTCAGAATGAGAGGGAGATTCCTGGGTGGGTGTTGAGCAATGTAAAGTCTCTTTAACTGAGTCATTTGATATAAACAAATGCAGGTGTTCTTGATGATGTGAGGTACATTTTATTTTTATTTTTGCATTTAATTCGTTAGTGATAGAAGAATATACACAAATGCTAATTCATTACTGTTGAGCAATGTGATGGCTCTTACTGTGTCATTTCATATAAACAAATGAACATGTGTTTTCCATGCTCTGGAATACTTTTTAATTTAATTAATTTATTTTATTTTTTATCCCAGTATAGTGGAGTCGATGTTCTATCATTAGAGACTTTTTTATTACTCTTAGATTTTTCGGGCATTGAGACTAATATTTTGTATGGCTTAGCGAAAGTTTTTTTTTTTTTTTTTTTTAATGTTCTATTGCTGGTGTTCTATTTTTTTAATGGCAAAATGCGCTATCTGACGGTAGAAGATACACAAATGCTAAATGAGTCAAATTTGCTGATATTCTATTCCTGTGACATTTGCAACGTTGGTCTTTGCATACACCCATGTTTCAAAGAATATCATACAATGTCTCTTTTTTGAAATATTGCTTCCTTTTCGTTGAATGTACATTGAATTTTTATGAAAGACAGTTTTAATATTTTTTAATTTTAATTATGTGTTGTGTTAAATAAAATCTGCAATGCTTTGGATATTTTTCCATATATATTTAATTGTGGGATAAAGGAAAAATTATATTATTCTAGAATGAGTATTTTATAAAATTTTGAAGGAAATATATAACAATAAAGGTTTAAAATTAATTCTGACAACTACCTGAATGTTCTTCTCAAAATGTACCAAAAAAATGGAACAATTGGATGACAAATTTAATTTATACGAATTTTTTTTTCCAAAGTTAGGCTTAGCAGCGTGAATTGCCCATCCCCACAAGACTACGTAATCCCGTTAACGTGCCTTCCCAAGAGAACGGTTCGGTAACAGAGGTGGCCGACGTGAAAGAGTTAAGTCACTAAAATGATGAAACATTTTAGACAATTGACAGACAAAATGCCCTAATCACTGATACCCTAATCATTGAAACATTGAAAAGCAATATACACAAACCAGGGGCCCATGACTTGCAGATCATATGCGCCCGTCAGATTTCTTTTATACAGCTGACAACTTATGAATGAAAGAGTGGGAGCAAGTCAAATGGAATTGTAATATGAGAATCAGCTAGCTTGTTTTTCCCTGATTCAAAGATAGAAGCTGAATCCAAAGATAAATCAGAGAAAACTCTCAATGTAAACTTTTAAACAAGACAAAAAGAAAGTCATAATTTAGCGCAGATTTTGAATAAAACTCTATCAATTTCAAGGGTGATCAGTCACATTTTCCTCTTCTACAGAAGCAAAAATTAGAGCAGTGACAAACATTTTATACTGAAAGTAGTAGACAGAGCAAAGTAAAAATGAACAAAGCACAATCTGTTAAGGAAAACAGCACAAAAAACTAAGACAGTATACAAACATTTCTACAAACAATATTAAAATAAAAGAATTAATGTATTGGTTGAAACAAAAATTTGTTTCTAGTATATTGTAATTCTACTTATTGAAAGCGAAATAATAAGTAATCTACTTTATATGAACTTACTTTAAGATGGCCATTCACAGCTTAACTTGATACTGGTCCTTTATGAACAAAGTGCTCATTTTCGAAAGACTAATATTTACTTATGTTCTTATAAATACCATTTTGTGAAATGGTTGTCTAAAAGATTGAATTATTTGGATTATGACAATGCATGCAAGGACAATGTGCTTAAGGAGAAAAATGTCATCATAGATGTTTTAAAGGAAACTGACTTACATTCACAGTAAACAAAGAAAAATCCTTAAAAACTCAGATACAGCTAGCTTATTTACTGAACTTTGAACCTTGGCCAAATTACCAGCATTAAGTGATTTCATCCCTAGATTGTTGATGCACAGATTGTTTAAGGGAGACGGTTGCCATGATATGGTTTACTGAAAGTCCATCATAATTCATTTTTTAAAAATTTATTTAATATATACTTATGATTTTACATTATATTTATGCAAAATGAGCTTTAAAACAATATATAAAAATAACTCCTTCAGGGAGGGAGCTTGTTTTTAATTGCTGTTTAGTGTAATTGTTAACAATTGTAACTCTAATGGCATCCACAGAGCAGGCAAATGTTTTCAAATTTTAAAGAGTTTAATTACTTGAAGAGCTCTTTTGTGACAAGGTAAAGTATTTCACTCTCATGAATTGGAACTCAAGCTCTGTCCTCAAAGGCCCATGCAATACTTTCATATTGTACTTTTGATTTGACCCATAGATGTCAACAAGAGCAAGCCTCTGCTAAAACACTGCAATCCCAAAGAAAAAGAACCATAAATCACCAACTACTCCATGGCTGACACAGTGGTGCTCTTTTGGATGTAACAGAATCATGCCCCTCCTCCACCCACTCACATGAGAAAAAATGAGAAACTACATCACTCGGGCATCTTACTCTTACCCATGGCATCTTATTCTACAAGTGTTCAAAAGGCCCTATTATCCATGTTGAATGAGCAGATCTAAACACTACCCACCAATGCAACAACACACCACATCACTCCAATGAGCTTTAAAAAAGAATTGGCAAGTCGTACCTCTTATTGGCATAACAATGCTGGGGAAGGGTGTATGGCAACAATGGAGCCAGCCAATGTTTGCAAATTTTAAAGAGCTGAATTACTTGAATTCTCTATCAAAGAGCTCGTTTGTGGCAAGGTAAAGTATTTCACTCTCCTGACTTCGGCTCAAGTTGTCTTTAAAAGCTCATGCAAGACTTTCACATCGTAATTCTGATTCAACCCAGATATTGCCACAATCAAATCTTCACTAAAACACTCAGGGCCCAGAGATAGCAAGCCTTAAATCATCAACTACCCTGTGGCTGCCACACACTCAGTATTCTCATTACAGTTACAATTTCACATATTACACTTGCAGTAAAAGAAATAATTTAGCAACCTTAAATAATACTTACTAGTTTTTCCTTTCACAATAATATTTATCCTGTTGGCTTTATTAGTTTTCATATATGAGTCAATAAACCCATATGAATTTTGTACTGTGCTCAAAAGTGCTGAAGTCTCAGCTGGAAGAACTTTTTCTTGAACCATAGCTGTTATGTAAAAAGGATTTGTTCGAATACGAACTGGATGCTCAGCCTTCAAAAGGAAATAACAAGCACATATAAAGAAAATGTGATTAAAAAGAACATCTTTATATCAGCTTTTAACTCATAACTATCAGTTTAAACTTTATATCATGCATGCTACACAATATTGTATTCTTTTGTGAGCATGTTATCGCAAAATATTTATTCTCAGGGAAAAATGCAAATTATCAACCAAAATAGAATTATATTTCAGAGGAATGGTTCAGTTACAATTTATAAAACAACATTTATAAAATTTAGTTTAGGCTTGCTTTAGAAACTTATTATATCAATAATATAAACAAAAATTTTAATATCATTATCACACTTTTGTTTAGAAAAACAGACTGAATGGGAAAAGGAACTCGGATGCATTCTACAATTTGATAATTAACAATAAAAATATTCTATAGTATTCTTTGTACTGAATAATGTCAAATTAATTTCTTAATGATAATATTAGCAAAATGAATACAAAACACTTCACATACCTTCATAAATTATGTGTATTTAAAAAAAAAAAAAAAAAAAGGAAATACAATGGATTATTGTAAGAATATTTAATATGAAAAGTAAAAATTTAGCAAGAACAGCTAACATAATGAATGAACGAAATACAAACTGGTGGACTAATAACATATACAGAAGGGCAAAAAAGAGAATAAAATTAAAATTGTTAACTTTTCAGGGAAAAGGCAAATTATTAAAAATGAGGAAAAGCACAATTCAGAAAAAGTACAGCATAATCATTAAAAAAAAAAAAAAAAAAAAAAAAAAAAAAAAAATGCTATGAGTTACTAAGAATTTGCTACACAGCTACACAGATTATTATATGTAATTATTAATGCAATAAAACCAAATAAATTAAAACTATATATAAACAATTTAATATTCATTTAGATATGTAAAACTGATAAATTTGTTGAAAAGTTTATTTGGAACTAATTATAAAAATATTAATTGCTTATGAATTGTAATGAGATTATACTAATGATAGCTATTATATTTTCATATAATATCATTTTATTGGTGAGCCATGTAAAATGAACACTGAAGTATCTCAACTGAAAATTTATTTTTCATTTTCTTGTCCAATGCAACAGAAAACCTTTTTTAAAACTCAGAATATTAAAAGCCTAAAAATTTTTTTAATGGGAAAATGCTAATGAGAAATTGAAACCTACATTTATATTAACAAAGATATTTCGGGTGAATTTTCTTACAATATTATTAGTGAAAATATCTAAATTTGTTAACCGAAAGATATGAACTTATTTAAATTTATATACTCCTTGTTACTTTTGTTTATATAATAAATACTGCTTTGTGGTATACAATTTCTATTTTACAGTACAAAGCCCGTAATCCAGACTCGTCACGACTTCGACGATTCCGGATTATAGATCATCAATTTAAATCTGGTAAGATGGCACGCAGAAATTATACAATTAAAAATATGAAACCGTAATTTATAAAAAAAAGAGCAATTATGATCTAAAGGGTATCAAATTTTACAAAAAAAAAAGCTTAATATTTATTTGTTTACTTTATTAAACATTTCTTTCAATGCGCGCATGCGTAGAGCATACATTACGCACTTGCGTAATGCACATAATGTATGCATGCGCATTCATTACGTGCATGCGTAAAGCATAAAAAAAAAAGTTTGTGGCTTTTGAGGTCCCGATTATAGATCATTCCGCATAGTGGACGTCCGGATTACGGACTTTGTGCTGTATTTATCATTATTGTCCCCCCCCCTTAAATGCTTTCTGAAAATGTTCATGCTTTAGTTTAGGGTTTAGCTTTCAACGTTTCAAAATTTTTTGTTCCCATCATAAAAGACAAGCAAGTTTCTTTGCTGATAATAACTCCATTCTCTTGAAATTTAAATGCTATTTTATATTTTATAATTTTGATGAGATTTTACCGGTGTAATATTACATGCAGATATTTTAATACTGTCTAAAAAAATATTTTTGTATTTTTTAATTCACATCCACATTGCATATCTTTAATTTTATATTTTTGCTTTTCATCAATTGTTAACCTTTTAAGTGGCATGAAACTTTTAATTCATCATGAAATTAGATACCACTTGACAATTATTACCCAGTTATTTAAAATATTCTGCTTCTTCATTTTCTTTAGCATTCTAAATATCATTCTAATGAACCTAAGGTTACGTAAATAAAGAGAAAATTAATAAAATATACAAATCTAACTGATAAGTGCTGTTTAAATACAACTCAAGCAGATACAAAAAGCTGTGATAGAAAAACGGTAAAATCCCTCACCTCCAAGAAATAGTTTTAATTTTATACTCATTTCTGCATTAGATTACGATACTAAGAAATTACAGGAAGCATAATAAATTCACATAAAGTTCAAAAATTCATAATAAAAGAAGTAATGCTCGGGAACAATTTTGATTTGCAAGAATATGATCAGAGGGATATTGGATTTTATTCCCATGTACTTAAAAAACAATACTGCAAAAGTAACCAAAATAGGGTTTATTAATTCTCAAGTCTATTTTACTTTTATTTCAATATTTTAAATTGCTTTTATTTATGATGATTTATTTGACTGTATTATGTACATCAGGGTTTCTTAAACATTTTTCTATTGTGACCCTTAGAACCTGCTTTTTAATACAAAATACTTTTTAATTACAAAAATTTTGTGGGACCACTTAAGTATCGCGCAAATCTGACATATGTGTTAGTGAAACTGTCAGTTTTTTCACTTGTACTGTAATATACTATTGCAGTTTTAGGTCATAAACTTTAATTTCTAATTTTAAGACATAGAACAATGTGAAAATTTAACAGACAAAATGACAGCATCACGTGTAAAGCAAGGGAAATGAACGTTTATATTATAAAAAGGAATGCGTCGAAACGTTTTCGTTTTTTTCTTTTCTGAATTGTCTTATCTTTATCTATTTTCAGATACATTGTGTAAAAATATTTGGTAATTGTAAATTATTATAGTAAGTTAAAGAAATATCAAAACTGCTAGAATTTTTGGCGATCCACAAGGAGGTCATGACCCACAGTTTAAGAAACCCTGATGTACATAATGATCGTTATACTTCCATGATAATTTTTTAGAGAGGAGGTATGTTGAAAGTTCAATTTAGTCAATTCACTATTGCAAAGTAATGCAGGTCTTCTGCTCCATGTGTGAAACGATGTACAGTACAAAGTCCGAAATCCGGATGTCCATTATCCAGAAATCTGATCTAAAATCCTTACCTCAAAAGCTTTTCTCGGAGGCTTTACGCATGCATGTTTGATTTCCCCCCTTCCGCGAAAATAAAACATCTGAAGAGTCCTGATTCTTAATTTCATTTCGACACTAAATAAATACCTTGTTATTGAAGAAACAATCATTTTAGCATAAATTTGTACCATCAGTAATTTGGCTCCGTTGCTGCATATATGCTTGGCACACATCTCAAACCGAAACACTCCACATAGATACATTGTTGATCTGATGCCAAACCTGGCGAATCATTCTTTATTATACTTTCCTTTCATCACCGCATGCTTATCAAAACATGACAGTTTGAGTAATGACTCATGTAGTGATGCCTAAATAATTTTTTAATGTTAGTAATTGAGTAATAAAGGAGTAAGGTAACCTTTTATGTTGACATTATGCTTGCTGATGATTACAGATTTAAGTTAAATGCACTAAAAATGTTGACAAAGAAACATTTACCAAAAATTTCTTTCCATATGCTAACAAGAGATTTTGTTGATGATACTTATAGACACAAAGATTACATTTAGGGCTATTTTGAATTAAGAATAACTGATTTGTTATTCACATAAACCGAGAACCAGCACCAGGGCTTGTATGGATGCGCCGAGTCGCAGAATTTAGGACCCACAGAGACTGCATCAGGTGGTCAGATATCTAGTGCCGGCCCTGAATAAAGCTTAAGTATATGTAGAAATTTATTTATTCAAAATTCTGATACGCTGATAAGAATGTGCAATATTCTGGTAAGAATAATTCTGATCTGATGAATTATAAGAATGATTTTGATAAGAAAGTGTAAGAAATAGGTATAATATATAACTAAACTAATACAATTCAGGCTTAATTGTCTCAGTGCGTGATAGAAGCAATATGAAATTTAACAGAACAACTTGTCGTTAGTCGCCAAGCTCATGATGCATAGCCAAATATGTATAGTGAAAGGTAGCTAAATTTTATGATGATAGTCGCTAATTTTAAAGGTTTTTGAATATCGCAAAACAAAGGTGAAATTTTCCAATTAACGGATTTTGTAAAGAAATATGTAGAAGGGGTAATAAATGAAGATGATATAAAAGAAGTTTTCATTATGATGACAATGCTTCTCAATCATCAATCAATTAATGAAAGGCGAAATCCGTAGTATGATTCTAGATCCAGAAAATGCAACTAAACAAGAGATTATGTCTGTCTATAGAAAGAGAAAGTATTAGCACAAAAATCAAAGCAACTTAAACCATTTATGTTGAAAGAAATGTTTAATAAGGTAAACAAATAAATATTACGCTTTTTTTCTTTTTTGTAAATTTTGATACCCTTTAGATCATAAATACTTCATTATTTCATAAATCACGATTTCATATTTTCAATTTTATAATTTCTACATGGCATCTTACTAGATTTAAACTGATGATCTAATATCCGGAAAAATCTCAAATCCGGAATCGCCGAAGTCTCAACGAGCCCGGATTTCAGACTTTGTAATGTATTAAGTAAAAATAGCTCATGCAACATTACATATGCAGGAAAAATGGTAAAACCCACTTTAAAATTTTAAGCTTGAAATTAAATGTAGAATAAAACTAAATATCAGTAATTTTATTCAATCAGAATGCTAGCAAACAGTTTGTTTTAGAATATATTGTCTGTGGTTATCAAAAGGAACTATTGCACAAAGTTAAACACCAAACAATTACATAATTAAGAAACAATTTTAAATTAAAAAACAATTTAAACTACCTAAATTTGATAATCTGCAAAATGACACTTACTGACAATTAAAATATATTTACCACTATGTTCAAAGAACCTTGAATCCCTGATGACTCTATTATCCACTGAACTGGTACATGGCACTTTAAAACAAGAATCAAATTCTGCTCAACTACAACTTTCTGAGCTGAATTTGAAACCGCATATGGTTGCAAATGAATTAAGATATCAGCATTTGAAATGCTGGTATTCAATTCAATTACATGAAGAATGTTGTACCTGAAAAATAAAAGTTTAAACATAAGTTTGGAAAATGGCAATAAAATACATTCATATCAAACACTAATTTAACATATTTAAGAAAAATAATGAAAGAAAATCAGCATTTCACAAAATTTTTATATTGCTATAATAATATCAAGTTCTGAAATATAATGGCAGATCATTATATTTCAAAGCTTGATTTGATGATGTGTAAAAGAACAGTGCTGTCATCCATATATGGAAATCAACTTTATATTTAAAAGCAACATTTTCATAGTTGATTTTTGTCTCATGTCTGCATCATGAAAAATTACTTTCAAGAAGAAAGAGTTTTCTGACATATTTGCAAATACGTTTTAATGAATGAATTCAGATGATGCTTAACTGGCAAGGACTAACCAAAATCGAGCAATTAGCTAGATGGTTATATGTGAATTATTCTATTGCTCAAAAACTTCAGAGTTATTTACAAAATCCTCAAGGCACTGCTGGTTGCTTGGCTTGATTAGGTGCTTAATAACAGAAGAAAATCTCAATTTAAAATATTTCCTTGTAGCAGCTATTGGATAACCAGCATTAATTTCAAATTTTTGTAAAAGCCTTTATTCCAACTAGTATTCATATGCAGGAATGGATGATATTTAAAATATGCAAGGCTTCTCATAATCCTACAGATAATAGACATTTAAAGTATCAGATTTCTTGTTCATAGCAATTCTAGAAATTATGAATGTAAAAAAATAAAGGACATAAATATATATAATTTCGATAAAATTGGTCCTTATGGTGTAGGTAATATGGTAAGATCCAGCTTAAAGCTGGTCCATTTAGTGGTGTTTCGGTTTAACGCCTTTTTATTCGAATAATGGGATTCCCAGAAAACTGAGTGCAGTATTGGGCTTCCCTGAAATCGAAAGTAACTTATCTGCATTACTTCTTCTCTGCAGTGTTACACAAATGTAGTCTAATTATATCAAACATTTGTTGCTGTTATTGTAAATATAAATTTATTTAATATAATGATTGATAATGTGATAAAAGTTATAATTTTTAGTTTATATATGGGTGATAATAAAGCTGCTATCACACGTTGGTTTGCTTTGGAAGAACAACTGTTTGGAACAATTTTTCTGCTTTGTCACAACAGCCAGTCACCATAGATCACGTTGGGGTTAACACAAAGGAAACTGGTTTCCCATTAGAAACATGCTGATAGCTGATTGGTTGAAAACGAACAACTCGCAATTTTTTTGGAAAGGAAGGAAAAAGTCACACATCTTTCTCTCAATAGTAAACCAGGCAGAAAATTTTTCAAAACAGTTGTTTGTGTGAAACAAACGCCGTGTGATATGGGCCTAAGAAACATAAAAATAAAGCAACAAGAAAAAGCATTTCCCTAGATAAAAAAAAATGAATGCAAGTGCTTAGGAAATTAGCTAGTGGTGAATGTCAATAGCAAATTGGTGTTGCATTGAACTAGTCAACTTCAATAAAAAGGATAATTTTCAAAAACAAAGAAGGCCCACCAGCGGCCGAGCAGTAAAGTCGCTGAACACTGGTAGTTTGGTCCAAGGTTTGAATCCCGCGAACAGGCTGGCTGCATGGGTGTTTTTGTGGTTTTCCCCATGTGTAACATGTATACGAGCCAATTTCCCTTAGAAAGTTCTCCACAAAGGCATCCCTCCCTTTAGGCAGATAGCCCTCGAGGCTTCGCTGTAATTAAATAACCTAACCTAACCTTTCAAAAACAAAGAAAAAAATAGTGTCATCAGAAACTACAACTACAAAAACCTCATCAACTTGGTGTGTGTATTTAATTATGGCAAAGCACACGAGGGCTATCTGCCTAAGGGGAGGGATGCCTTTCATGGAGGACTTTCTAAGGGAAACTGGCTCGTATACACGTTACACATGGGGAAAACCACGAAAACGCCCATGCAGCCAGCCCGTTCGCGGGATTCGAACCTCGGACCGAACTACCAGTGTTCAGCGACTTTACCGCTCGGCCGCTGGTGGGCCCTCAGCAACTAGAATAACCTGTTCTAGAAATAATACGATAGAGGAGATGGGAAAACGACTTTCTATATGGATTGACAACAAAATTGAATGCAATATGCCATTAAGCCAAGCTATTATAATGGAAGAAACGAGAAAACTTTTTAATCACATTCAGATTGAAACAGGTGACACAACTGAAACTTTCATTGCAAGCTGAGAATGGTTTAATAGATTTAAACTTTGAAATAATCATTTAAACCTTGAAATAATCTTCATAACATACAATTTACAGGAGAAGCAGCAGCTCAATTACCAGGAACATCAAGAACAATAATTAAACAAGGAAACTATCCTCTGGAATTAGTTTTTATTATCAATGAAAAGAAAGCCAAAACATGCATTTCTATCCATCCCATGAAGAAAAAAAAGCACCAGGATTTAAATCTGTAAAAGATCACTTAACACTTCTCCTGGGTGCTAATGCTAATGAATACTTCAAATTAAAGCCACTTTCTATTTATTATTCCAAAAAACCCAAGAGTAAACATCAAAATCAACTTTACTTGTAATTTGGGAGTCTAATGAAAAATTATGGATGACTATGAAAATTTTGCAGAATTGCTTCAATAAACATTTGTGCCAGTCTCTTAAATGCTATTTCAAAATAAAAAAAAAAAAAAATTATAAAACCAAAAGCTCTCTTTTAATGGATAATGCCCCAAGACACCCAACAAATTAATTTATCTGACTTAATAACATGCATTCCAGTTGAAGTGGCTTTCTTGCCACCTAACACAACTGCATTAATCCAACCAATGGATCAAAGAGTTATATGAAATTTTAAAGCTTATTACTCATGGCGAGCATTTAGACAAATGTTTGAAAAAAACAGACGGAGATTATAAACAATCAATAAGAGATTTTTGGAGGAACTATAATATAGTGGATGCTATAGAAAACATAAATTTTTCTTGCAATGAGGTAATGGAAAAATGCTTGAAAGGAGTGTGGAAAAATTAAACGAGAACGATGACAGTAGAGATTCTGTTGTTGATATGAATGAAACAGCGGAATTATTAGCAAAACAAACAAGTTACGTTGAAGTAAAGGTGGAAGATCTCCAACAAATTTTGCAAGAAACAGCATAAAATCTTTCTAATGATAAGCTCAATGAATTAGCAGATCAAAAAGAACACAAAACTATTAAAAATAGCATTGCTGAAGAAAAGCAAAAAGAACTTTCAACAACATTTCTAAAAACCAGTTTAGCTTGCACAGTGGAAATTATGGACTTATTTATTGAAAATGATGCAGATTTTGATAGGAGTTCAAAGGCAAGATCGATGCTTTGTCTCATTACTAACAACTTCTTACGAAGCGCAAAAGAGAAATGCAAATGACATTAGATACTTTCTTGATTAATAAAAAAAAAAAAAAAAAAAAAAAAAAACAGAGAATTAGAAATGCAGAAAAATCTGAATGATCTAAAATATAAATGGTGATTTAAAATTGTATTTATTTGTTATGTTTCGATATTTGTAAGAAGTAAGTTTTTATTTTGTATTGTTATAAAAAAACATATTTAATGAACGTAAATAACAAAATACTTGAACTTTTTTTTATTTTATACCCACTTTCCACCACTATATTCACTTACACTTTATACCACTTTATTTATACCACTTTATTTTATACCACTTTCCATTATTTTTTTATTTTAACCCCATTATTTACATGATGAGATGATCTTGTTTAATGCTATTTTGTATAATGCTCTACTTTGGATAGTACATAACCCCTGTGTTAAGCGGGGTTTTACTGTACCATGGTTTGAGTTGCCATTTCTGAATATCTTCAAGAATAAGCAAGAATCTATGAGATAAAGAAAGGAGATTCTTGTCTCTTTGCCATTATAAAAGTAAAAATTGAAACTATTTAGCATATGCATGAATATACATGAAATACAAGAAACTTTTTAAACATATGCATAAAAACATATATCTATTCAATTAAAAAAAAACTAACTTTTCATCATTTTGAATGTTATTTACAAAGCATCCAGTTGCAGGCTGAGGCTGAACAAAACTACCTTTTACATTTATTGATTGTGCTTGACTGTTGAAGTCACAATCTTGAGCAGCATTTGCATCTATGAAAGTAAATAACATCATTTTTACAAACATGAAAATTAGATAATGATTTTATTCTGCAACCTTATTTTAATTATTAGACAATGATATTGTTCAAACAATCTTTTTGTTTTTATAACACATATTAATGAGATTGTGGCATTTCTCTTTTGGCAATGTTTCCTGTTTTTGATTGTTTTCTGTTACGATAAAACGGTTTATTTTTAAATGGTAAAAACATAATCCCTCTTTTATTTTCATTATGTTGGAGTGTATGTTGAAGTTTCAGCTATTCTTGGGTGTTTATGATCACGCTTGATTTACAATACCAAGGTTGTGTAATGTTCAGTTTTTGCAATTCTCCTACTTTTTTTTAGTAAAAACATATCACTGGATACAACATCACAAAAAACAATACAGAAGAATTTCTCAAGGTATGTGTTTATTTTTTAATATATAGTTCTTATTTAATAATTAATTTTTTTTATTTTAAAATGCTGAAGTGTGTTTTCTTTTTAATAATATTGATAATGTTTACTGATTAATGATAAATACCTGACGACGATCTTTTCTGTATACTCACCAAAATTGCCAACTGGCAACCCACAAGTAATTTTTATCAAATAAATTAGCTTTTTTGATCAATATATCGATGTGGAATATTTTTAAAAAAAAAGCTCATATGCATATTTATACAGTAAGACCCCGCTTAACGCGGGGGATACGTTCCATCGAAGTAGAGCGTAATGCAAAACAGCGCTAAGCGAGGCTATCTTAACATGTAAATAATGGGGTTAGGGGAAGATGGATGAAAAAATGGTTAGGCATTAAATTTAATAATGTTTTTTTTTAATAAAAATAAAATCAAACATTTATTTCTTACAAAAATAAAAACAATATAAATGCATATACTTTTAAAAACAAATAAAATTCTCAGTCAGATCATTCAGTCTATTCTGGGTTTCCAATTTTCTGCCTTTTTGTTAAGAAGGCATTATGATAGACTGGCTTAATGGCATATTGCATTCAATTTCATTGTCAATCCATATAGACAGTCGTTTTTCCATTTCCTCTATAATGTTATTTCTAGAACGGGTAATTCTAGTTGCAGTTACCGATGACAGTATTTTTTCTTTATTCTTAAGAATCATCCTTATTGTTGAAGTTGCCAAAATCAATGCAGCACTAATTTGAGATTGACGTTCACCAGAATCTAATCTTTTAATCACTTGCATTTGAGTTTCCAGTGAAATGCTTTTTCTGGTTGCTTTCTTTTCTTGTTTTTTATTATCACCCATGATAAAAACTAAAGATCATAATATTTGTCACTGTATTAATCGTTATAGTATTATACAAATTTAAACTTACAATAATGTCAACAAATGTTTCAAATGATAAAAATGCGTCCACCAAGCAAGAAACACAACTACACTGTTTCGGATATGTTATTTGGAAACCTAGCGCTGCGCACAATTTCGGAGAATCCCCGGGTTGAAATAAAAGAGCGCTAAACCGAAACAGCGTTAAGCGGGGTCTTACTGTATTAGAAAACAAAGTCATTCAATTTGCCATGCTGACCTTACTGAAAATCAATACAGTCAAAAGTCTTTAATCCGGACTCGTCGGGACTTAGGCGATTCCGGATTATCGGTTTTTCCCGATTATAGATCATCAGTTTAAATCTGGTAAGATGGCATGCAGAAATTATAAAATTTAAAATATTATATAATATTTGGAACCATAATTTATGAAATAAAGAGCAATTATGATCTAAAGGGTATCAAAATTTGTTGGAAAATATAGCTTATTTTTAAACCTTTTACTGCATCATCTCTCCTCCTTGAAATGTTTATTTAGTTTAGTCCTTATTTTAATGTAATATAGTAGTTACTTCTACTTCTTTTTCTTGCTGCCACTGTTTGCATTGAGAACGGACTGTTTCAACCTAATTGAGATGCAAAAACGAAACATGATTTATGTCATCTGAAAAGCCGATTTGTGCCGATAGCTGATTGGTTGCCGTGGGATGACGTCATTCCTACTTCTGCTATAAGTATCTCGCGTCGCTCTGGCTCAACGCTTCTAGTTCCTGCTTTCCCGGCACTTGAGTGAGCGGTTTCCAGCACCTTCAAAAGAATGCATGCAGTCCGGTGAATAAAATGCCTTGATTCCGGTTTGCGAGATGATGGTTCCAGATTAAAGTTCTTCGGTTCCAGAAGCTACCATGTGAGTGACTGCCGTGGGCGGCATCCATGTTCTTCAATAAAGGCGCCAATTAAAAATACGTGAGCAGCGACTCCTTGTGCAAATGGGGTTAGGCCTGTTTTAAGTGCTTTCAAGAACTTCATTTAAATTTTCAGGTGTTTTTCTTGACCATTGATTATGGACTTATTGAATGGGTAGCCAGCTTTAGGCCGCATAATTACTGTTTAGGACATTTTTGTTTGTATAGAATGCCAGTGTTTTGGAGACCAGGTAAAAATATTTGATGAATGATGGTTATATTATATTTTTTCTAAGACTCTAATATTGTTGACATTTATTTTCTGTATTTTTTATTCTTTATTATATTGTTAATAAATTGTTAAGTTCAAAATCTTTTATTGTCTTCAATGTCTGCACACACATATCTCAGGGAGCTTTTATTGCTACTACTGCTAAATGTTTAATTTCTTTAAACTTTAAACCTTGCTTTAGCATCATTTGGGTTATGGGCCACCAGCTCCTGAGTTATTTTTAGTGCAGACTTTTGAAGTTTAAAGTTAATTTAGGACTTAAGAGATTGGGGGGGGCGGTTTTTGTTAAAATTCAAATATGGCTACTGTTAGTGTCATGCACAATATTGCTAAACTTGAGGCATGTAATTACTTTACATGGTCCAAAGATATGAAGTTTGTCTTGAATGAAAAAAATGCATGGCTTTTGGTCAAAGGTATTGAAAAATGTCCTGATTTAAATGATGTTAAGGGTATTACAAAAGAAATTATTGCCGACTATCAAAATAGAAGTCGATTAGCATTATCGTTAATTTATATGAATGTAAGCCCTGAATATAGAAATTTGATATGTGAAATTGATGACCCGGTAGTGGCATGGAATACTCTTGCCAAATATTTCCAGCCAGATTATCGGTCAAGACATATTTCCCTGTTTTCAGAGTTCTTAAAATTGTAAAATTAAGCCAAATGAAAGTATTAGTTTCTTTTCTTCTAGATTAAAATGCGTAACTGAACAGTTAGCTGATATTAATCAGGCTGTAAGAGACGTATATATATGTTTCCAGTTTCTTAGGTTCCTTCCAGATAAATTTGATCAAGTAGTTCAGAATATTTTGAGGTGGCCAGATGAAAAGTTCATTTTTAAAAATGTTGAACTTGAAATTCTAGCAGAGGAAACGCGTCTTAATTTAAGAGAGATAGATAGGGAAAACTCCAATAAGACTATAGAAGTTCAAAGTACTCACTGTGAACCCAAATTTAAGCAGATTAAAGGGCTCAAGTGTTATAAATGTGGCCGTCCAGGTCATATTCAAAAATACTGTAGAATGAGAGGTAATTTTTCCAGATCACCCTCACCTGCTTCTTCTGTTTTCCTCAGCTGTATCTAGTAGTAATAAAACATCTTCCTAAGTGTAAGAATAAACCCAAGTTGAGTAAGAGTAAAAATAATTCCCCATGCTCAGTCCCATTTTATAGCTCAAGCTAATGTTAACAATTTGGAAGGAAAATGATGATAGTTGGATTTTTGATACGGCTGCATCTCATCATTTTTGTAAAAATCGTGAATTGTTTGATACTTTTTCTCCTGTGAAAATGAGAATATGCTAGTAGCTATTGATGGGGTAACTTTTCCAATTCACTGTACTGTTAAAATGAAATTTGGGGATACGGTTATTTTGCTTAAAGATGTGTTATATTCACCTGAACTGAGACGAAATTTAATATCTGGACCTAGGGTGGATATCAATGGAGCAAGATTTTATTGTAAAATTGGGCAAATTAAAGTTACTGATGATGAGAATTCAACTTTGTACAAGGCTAAGTTGATAGGAAGTAACTATCATGTGTTCCCGAAAATAATCAAAAAGGGGGTCAAATCTGTAAAATTTGAGGCATCCACAGTTCAGCATAATAATAGTGAATTATGGCATGGTCGGTTTGGTCATATAAATTATGATACTATTGTCAGGACTAGTAAGAGACATTCAGTTTGAGGTCTTCCTGTGTTAAAGCACTCACCTAATTTGTTTTGTGAACATTGCCAAATCAATAAGCAAAGACGAATCTCTTATAGACCTTTAGAAGGTATTCAAGTAAAGAGACGCTTGAAAGGGTTTTCTCTGATGTATGGGGACCTATTAACATTCCAGGTAGGAATGGTGAACGTTATTTTGTTTCCTTTATTGACGAATATTCTCGTTACGTGGTAGTGTACCCCATTATGGAGAAAAGTCAGGTGTTTGAAGTATTTGAAAGGCATATAGCACGTACGGAAAGGATCTTTGAACCTTAGATTGAAATACTTTAGGACTGACAATGGGCGAGAATATGATAATGATCAATTCAGGTCATATTGTAATAAAAATGGTGTAAAGCACGAATTTACAGATGTCTACACTCCAGAACAGAATGGAGTTTGTGAGAGATTTAATCAGACAGCTCTCAATAATGTATGTGCAATCTTACACGATAGTGGAATGAGTTCCGAATTTTGGTCAGATGCAGTAATGTATTTTGCATATTCATTTAATAGAATCTGTCATAAGGGCCAAGATAGAACCCCATTCGAATTATACACTAAGCGGAAACCATCAGTACGTCATCTTAAGGCATTTGGAACGAATTGCCTATGTGGGAATTCCAAAGGCTAAAAGAAATTCTAAACTTGATCCAAAGGCAACAAAGGGCCGATTGATTGGGTACAGTGTACGAACAAAAGGGTACAAGATTTGGTTGGAAAATGACAAAAAGCAAGAAACCCTAAATGCTACTTTTAAAGAGTCGATTGGAATGCAGAGAAA